GCCTCCATTCTCACCGTAACTAACCCATGAGGCAGTGAAAATACCAATTAAATTACCAAAATTACCTTTAGACATTTCTCACAAGCCCCTAAAATAGGCTAGCATTTTAACAACACAGCCAAAGAAGTAAAACCAGGGAGGATGTAGCATGAAGGGTCACACCTTGCATTTGGCATTGCCCACATCTGGGAGAACCTCTGAGGAGAACAAGTCAGGGGATTTATCTGCTGCACAGAGGCAGATGGGGGGTGGATGGTGGGCTGCTGTGACAACAAGGGTGGGCTGAAGGGCCCTGGGCTGTGCTGCAGGGAGCTGCAAGGCCTTGGCAGGTGCACACTGGAGCAGGTAAGGGAAATCCCAGCCCCCCATCCGGCCAGTTGGACATGGGGGATAACACAGATGCTAACACCCACCCCAGACATCATTTAACCTGGTGAATCTGGGAGCAGCCCAGCACCCTGCTGTGAAAACAATCACCTTTTGAGAACCTGGCCCTGCCCAGCCCGGGGGAAGCTCCCACCAGCTGCTAGGTATGATTATTCCTTGCCTCTCCTCACACCATGAGGCTCTGCAGAGAATGCAAAGTCTGTAGGGATTTTCCATGAGGCTTTGTAACAATGGTCTGTGCCTTTCAGCTGATGCAAAAGCAAAAACACAGGAGATTAAACTCCCACTGTTCAAATCTTATGAAGGATAAGGGACAGGGTTTAAAAAACAGTGCTGTGATGCAAAACGATGTATTCAGATGTATTCTAGCTTACTCAGTAGTAGAAATTAAATTTAATTAATAATAACCATATTCAAGTAGCATTAACTTTAAACCAACTAAATCCATGAAATATCTTCAGCTAAATTTCCAAATACTATTATTTAATTACTCTATCTGTTCTGATATCAATTTAAGCAGAAAATTTAGTCCCTTGAGACATATTGAACAAAGGCTCAAACATTAGCATCTCCTTGTTGTTTCCACAATTATCTTTCTTAATACTAATCACAGTTTTGAAGTGGTATTTTCTTTAGGTCTTAACTTGCTTTGAATTTTTCACTTCAACCAAAATAACAAAAATACACAAGGAACATTAGTTCAATGAAACAAAACTAACATAATTTGCAATCTCCCATATATCTGCAAACTAACAAACCAACTATGCTGAAAAGGAAGTGAAAACCCTGCCTACGTAAATGTTGTAAGTCACTGATTTGTTGTTGTGGGTCTTTCTTTTTTCTATATTTCATCCACTGCACAACAGCAGTTGCACACTTCAGCTAGAGGCAGCCTGGTAAACACTCCGAGTGTGGCTTGCTAAAAGGAGAAATTCTCAGACTGCTCTTTCAGGGACGTTTCTTCATCTGCTCCCTCATATTGGTAGCTAAACATACAGTAAGAATATTTTAAATATTATATGTGTTTGTGGTTTTAGCATAAAAAAACCTGTTGTCTGAGGTCTTCTAGGGCAGCTTGGGACTGAAATTAGAGGACAACTTTTAGATATTTCAGAGCTTTATGAACTGTCAAAAATGCTAAGTGCAGCTAAATGCAGCTTTTTTAACTCTTCATTTTTCAGAGCTCACACATCCCAGAAAACAGACATTAACAGGAAAGTTTGTGCAATAAATAATGGCTAAGGTTGATAAATACAAAATCACTCAAAACCCATCAGTGAGCTCTTCAGAACACTGATGCCAACATAATTCAGTTGCTGAACAAAATTTGCCTAAGCTCAGATGGAGTTATCTCATGTGCATGTAGATTAACAACGCCTTGGCAGTGACATTAGAACTTTGCATCTCCAAATGTAAAGAGCCACACACATCTGGCAGCAGTCCCACTGCAGGAAAAAAATTAATATTTTTTCCATTTTAACAGCAGATTATGGCCCTTACAAAAAGCAGGCCTGACCTATGAAAAAGCATCAAGCCAATACAAAAATCAAAAGCACTGGCAAGCTGATGTCCCTGTGTCACCTTGCAGCAGCCAGAGCTGACATGATCCTGTGCTTGGAGCACACTGAACATGGCTGTGCCTTTGGACTAAATTCTGCATACCAAGGGAAGGATGTTTTCTCCTCGCTGTCACTTTCACATTAGACCCTGTCTTTAAGATATTTAATCCACCCAGATAAGGGACACCGATCTGGTGTCTCCTGCTGACCTCCACATTTTCTCAGCATCCTCTGTGCTTGCCTGCAACTAGGTATTTCCCATCCCACTGCAATCCAGAACATCTGGAATCCAGAACATCCTTCTGCCTTGTGTGGGGCTGTCACACATTTCTCATGAGCCCGCTGTGCCCTAAGGCATTGTCTCACCTTCCCATCCCGAGGTGCTGGAGGGTGTCAGGAGGGTTCTGCCCTCAAAGCATGGACAAATTTTTCAGCAAGAACAGTCCCTCACTATTACTGTCACTAAAAACATTTAAATATTCTGCAAGAGAGTGATTTGTTGACCATAGATCATTGTATGTTTTCCCTTGGAGATTACAGAAAGAGTGGCTCAAAGCACACCAAAGTGCAGTTGTGTACAAAGGCTTAAAATACCCAAATCCCAACATTTTCCTAACTACCCACACTGACACTAGAAGCTTCTTCCCAGATCACAGTTGGAGTCTTAGATAAGTATTCCAACACTTTATTATTGATGAATATTATTTATCCTGAGAATGGAGGTACGTGGCAATAAATCAGGAGCCATGTGTAATCCAAAGATTTCTGTTACTGAAGTGAAATGCCACAGAAATTGGCACCTCAGGGCCTCCCAGGTTTAGCACATGGATCAGCCTCAGCAGAGTCTGAAGTTTGCTACAGCTCACTCATCCATACACATGGAAATGTGCACCTACCTCACCTGCAACAACTGGCCTGAGATCACAGCCACAACATCCCACCTCCACCCAGACAGTGCAGCAACTGAAGAGATTTGTTTCAAAGCTGAAGGAAACAGAGAAGACCACCACCACATGGTATTTCTTTCCAGGTGTAAGCTCTTTCTTTTACCAGTTGGTTTTTCAGAATTCTGTTCTCATGTTTGTTCCCAAAGCTGTTTTACCCCACTTGGCAAAAATATCCTCTCACTGTACAACCGACTGCTTCTCCTGGGCAGTTTAAACCAGCTTAGCTTTTCTCCTCTCCCTCAGCTGCAACATCACTCATGTATATCCATGCCTAAGCCACATAATTCAGGATTAATCATTCCATTCTGATAAATGTCACTGACTTTTGCTCATCTCTTCAACACATTTTTACTCAAGGAGCAAGCAAATGGTAACAGCCAAGGATAGCTTTATCTGGCAGATAAAGGGCACTCTGCAACTCCAAGGATATTACACAAAAGCTCCAATGGAATTGAAGACAACAAACCAATTGCCATACATTTATTTCTAACTTCAACAGTTACATCCCACCCTCCATTAATTATTTCTTATTTTTTACAACCTCGTAAAGAAAAATAACACAACTTGTTTTTCTAAACACAGCAACAAGCCACCTGAAACACTCCCTGGGCAAAGTTTGTGCTTTCCAGAACTGGCAGGTGCAGGCAGTGAAGGTGACACAAAGAACAGGTTTTGGAACCTGCCAGCCAAAACTGCCTCCATCCATCCTCAGCATCACTGCCCTTGCTCTTGGGCAGCTCCACACTGCCTGCACTGCCCTGACCCCTCTGCAGTTTGCTTTTGGCTCACCAGCCATGCCTGTGCACTAAAGGCACAACAGCAGGCAGAGGATCTGCCATCAGGAAATGCAAACCATGCTTTAAATGAGTTGCTTCAGGCTCAAGGCTGCACCTTCCCAGAAAGTTTGAGCAGCAGAGTGAAGCTGGCTCTGCTGGCTGAGCCTTGGTGCTGAGCCAGCCCAGGGAATAGAGCAGCAGCAACAGGAGAGGGAAATGGGCAACCTGTGCTGAGGGAAGGGAGCTGCTCTGAGAACAACCAGCCTGAGGGACAGGGGGTGGCTGAACTGGGGCTTAGCCCTAGGGGGAATGGTGTGATGGTCATTATGGTTTTCTATCACATTCAAAGTAAATTAAACAGGGGTTTTCTCTTTCCAGCAAAGCCTGAATAACCACATCTCAAAAGAGAGACAAGTTTTCCCAATAAAAGCTTGGGTGAGGACAGCACATCACCACTCACAAAAGGCCAGGTTTTTGACTGACAGGGACCCCTTCACAGCACCTTTAAGGAATAAAGCTTAAATATTCTCACCATTTTCCTTGAGCTACTCACTCCTAACCCCAACTACAAAGCTATCTACTAGAAAAAGAAGCACTGCCTACAGATATTGCCATATAAAACCAGAAAATTTGCTCACACTCTTGAGTGGGACAGACATTTCAGAGACACACAGCTATAGGAGCAGCTAAAACACATACAAGGGTTTCAGCAGGAGCTGGTAATAAAGCACTGGGAAATGCTACATGCTCTCAGAATATTGAACATGGCTTCAATGGAAACTGGACACTCAGACCTCTTCAGAGCCCTTATCCAGTCAAAGATCAAATTGAGAATTTTTTATACATACTTTGAAGAAGAAATAGTAAAATATTGCAGGAGACTACTTTCTTTGCATTAAAAAGACCTCTCACACACATTTGCCTGATTTAATATGTGATTCTACAAAAACTGGTCAAGAAATTTCAACAGATCAAAACAGCAAGGAAACAAGGCAATTGCTTAAAAATAAAGTCTCTGCTCTTCTCTTAAGGGAGTAACATTTTTTGTTATGGAATTCATAAAAGCTTATTTTTTAACACAATCTCCTGCCCTCCTACAAAAAAAAAAATAAAAGGCCTATTTGGGGATTATATTAAACTGGCTAGTTATCTACAGTGGTTGTCTTTCTCCTTTCCCTCTATCTCCCCAAAAAATAAAACAAAGAGAAACTTCACTCTTATTTAACCTGACCTATTTCTATTCTGAGCAAACTCTGAAAAAAACAACCCAACCCCACCACCTCAAATGTCTACTTACATCCATATATTTCATAAACCAAATGAGACAATACCTTTTCTGGCTCGCTCTGGGGAGAAGCAATCTTCCTTGCAGCAAAGAGAGGAGTCCCAACACAGCAAACCAGAGTACCTGGAGGCTCAGGCATTTATGTCCCTCCTGCCCTCACGCCTTGTTACCTCGTTAGGGCTGATTGGTGCTCTGCAGCTGAGCCTAATTAGGGCTCACAAGGCCCAGGTGTGAGGGCAGCTCCTGTGCTGGCTGTCCCTGTCACCATGCCAGGAGTGTGTGCTCCCATGCTGGATGTTGGGTGATGGGTGTTGCCCTCTCAGAGCAAGTTTTGAGCCTTCTCTTAGACATAGACAGGGCTGGCCTCCTGAAAATGAGGCAGAAAATCATAAAAATGTAGATCTGATTTAGCACTTACAGCTGTTTGGAATTATATTCAGGCCTTGCATTCCAAAAGCAATGCAATTACCTTTCCTTGGGTAGTAGAAAACATGGAGATGACCAGGCCTCTTAAAAATTCATGTTGTTTTCATGTCTTTTTCCTTTCTCCATAATTAGTAATCATCTTAACATGTGGTTCTGTTTAGAGTCTGGCACTCCTGTAAAGTTGATGGGTGTGCATTGAAAACACCAAAAGAAAAGCAACAAGAAAGGAAAATGAAGAAAACTCATATTATTTGGCTTCCCCACCTAGAGTGCAGTGTGCCTATGAGTCCACTGGTATTTTACTTGTTTCTATTCAATATGCAAATTCTACATTTTAGATAAAACACCAAAAAAAAAGAGTAATTTATTTTGTTTGGAGCTCTTTTGTTTGGCATTCTTTTTTATAAATGCTTCTGATTTTTTTAAACTGAAAAATGTGACTTATATATCTGAGTGGAAATGCCTCAGCATTAAAAACACAAAGGGAATGATTTTAAAGCTTATAATTTCCATAAACCATTTTAAATCTAAATGAGCTGCTGATGAGAGCTGTTTTTTGTGTCATGTGACAGCAGAATCCCGAGATCCTTGTTCAACCATGACTCTCACTGAAATTTAGGAAAAGATTATCTGAGCCAAGACAGCAGGATTCAGTCTCAGAGATTTCTCTGCAAGGCCCTAGGGCCGAATTCATTCTTGATTTAAATCAGACCAGCAGAACTGCAGTCGATAAAATGCCACTGATTTATATCAGCTCATATTTATTGCTATAGCACCCATGCTCACTTCCATGCCCCCACTGTAATCATTTTCCACCGTTCATTAGGTGCATATATAAAAGCTGACAGAAAGCACAAGCCAACTGACTGCTCTTTGCAGAGCTCCAAATGTGACATTTCCCTCATTTGCAAACAAGGTCTGGGTCTTACTAATGCTGGTGGAAATAAGGATTCCTACAACTCAGCCCCATGCTGCTCCACTGGGATAAATGAGATAAAAATCAAGAACTGGAACACAGAGCTACTGTGAGCATTACTGTTTGCATTGCTTTGAGGTGTGACATGCAGGGAATTTTAGGGCTGGCTCTTTTTGTGTTATCTCACTGGCAATTCCAGTTCTATTTAATAACGTGAAACCTCTTAGTGATATTTCTAGACAGATTCCCTGTTATTTCCCATTCACTTGCTTTATTTCTTTTCCTTTTATCATTGTTCTGCAGAGATGCTCAAAACTAATTTGCCTCCAAATGCCCTATTATGTCATTATTTATAGAAAATTACAAATCCCTACAGTGTCCGAAGGCAGACTGGGGCATGCCTGGCTGCATTCAGACAAGTGGTTTGCTGACAACCAGTGGTGCAGCTGTGAAGTGAAAGCCCTGACAGGCCTTTGGTTCAGTTCTAGGAGTGTCTTGATGCTCCCAGGGTAGATTCCTTGTGGAAGGAACCCACGTGGTGGCTCTATGCCACCCACAGTCACACAGCCCAGGAGGCCCTGTCGCCTCACCAAGGCTCTCTCCGTACATCCCTAATGCTTCTTTCTTGCACAAAGCTTCAAACCACAAACCCTACAGGCATTTATGCTCCAGGACCAGATTATCTTTCCATTTCCCCCAAGAAATGAAAAAAACAACCTCAGTAGATAGCAGCTCTGCATAAATTGTTTAGGTCAAACAACGCTGTCCTCTGAAATTGAATTCCTGCTGGCATAGTTGTAACCACAAACTCTTCTAGGTTCCTTCTCCAGAATCTCCACTGAAACTCTATTTCATTATGGCCCTGGTAATGCCATAAACAACAGCAAAAAAATCACTTTCTATCTACAAAGCCCATGTAGGAATATCTACCCAATAAGCTGCTTTCTTTCATTATCCTAGTGGGTTGTAACAGTTCAAAGATATAATTGTAACACGATCATTTATCTTTTACTGTGGCTTCTGCTAATTTTGAAGGAACAAGAAATTGTACAAGTATAGTGTTATGATTCTAATCTTTCTTCCCTCTTTTTACATTTTCTTTGTTTTCCTTTCAGAGATACTGCTGGAGCTTCAATTAAAACAGGCAGATCTTGTCTTGTATCCCACTACTGCACAAAGAAGTGCTCTCAACTATGCACTATACACTGTGCTGTTTAATTTCTTAGGCATGTGCTACTTTAAATAAAGGGAACAAAAATTCCAAAACTAAATCTGCAACACATTCAACCTGAAAGAACTCTTACTCCCCTGATGATAAGTAACTCTTTCTTACCTGATGGAGTTATCTTTCACATTGGCTGAAGCACAAAACCTTTGGTTGAAATTCATGAAGTATAATCAATCTTCTGAAAATGTCTTTTGCTACATGCTAGCTAGTTTTTACATGAGCATACCCCATTGGAAGATGGACAGATTGTTTGTAAATGAGTGAGTCAGTATGACTGTGAGGGAGATGATTATTCTGGTGACTAAGTGTGGTCAATGGAATCATGAGTTTTGCAAAGTCTTTCCCTCCTTTCAGTCCACGTAGTTTAGATTGAATTAAAACTACACCCTCTGGGTGCATTTCAGTATGAAATTTACTTTATGAAGTAAATCAGAATAAGGATGACACAATCCAGCAGTTTGTACAGGAGCAACTACCTTCCAGAATTCTGGACCTGACTGAATATCCACTGGAGTTGCGTTGACTTTATCATTGATTTCAACTTGACTTGAATCAAGACATTCATTACTGCCTTGAGATATTATTAAGTTGCTGTGTAAGTTTCTTAAAAGTTAAGAAACTTACAGAATATCATCTGAGCACAACAGAGCCAGGCTGCTCTTTTTTTCTTATTCAGATACATATCTAGTGTTTATAAAAAAAACTTCACTGCTTGCCTTATTAATGTCTTGAGGCAAGGAATATAATGCAGTAAGATGTGTTGAGTTTAATTTCTTGATTTGTTTGAATGTCCATATCAGTACTGCACTAGAGTAAAAACTCCATATATACAGCTGTGTGCTCCAGCATCTATATTAAATCACAGTTTCTTATTATTAGTCAGTACTTTTTGTAAATGTACCTCTCAAATCTTTACAGCTGTCACAGTCAACTTACACTCAGAAACTTCTGGCTGAAATTCTGCATTTCAGTATTGTTTGCCTGAAATAGAAAGAAATATATGTAATCTAAATGTAAAGATCAAATGCCTGAATACCCTCTGTTTTGTAGGTTGTGAGACAGCTTCTATTAATGTTTTTCAGCTGTAAGTGTTCTTGATAAAGACAGTAAGATTAAAATGCAGAAGCTTAAATGAGAACACTCATCCAGCTGTCCAAATATGCATCATATTTTCAATAGTAATAAATCCATGTTTACCAACATATACAACTGTTTTCTAAAACACTTCACACTCATAGTTCTCACTAAAGCAAACAGAACTTGTTCTGAGACACTTTAGAGACAACATCAAATGAATTTGTCTCTCCAAGTTCCTGTACTAATCCAGTAATCATTCCTCAAGGCTTTCTAGCTCTGCTGCCATATGGTTTTCTGTGGGGAGAACATTAGAGTTGAATTTGTTTTGTTCACTGGAGCATCCTTCACTGGAACAGACAAGCATATATTGTCAATAATCATGAAAGTTCTGCTCCATTCCCCTCAGTGCACAGAGCCGACACCTTTGCTGAGTCACTCACTGTGGCAGGGCTTCCTTCACATTACTCATCTCTTTACACTTTTTTCTTGCTTTTTAATTCTTCCCAGTTGACGTCTGCACCATCACCCCCTCTAATCACCTTAGCTCTGTGAGATCCCCCTTGAATTCCTTAAAACTCTTCTTAGCATTCATAAAGCAAATCAATATGTATGACTGGGAGATGACTCTGCCACCCTCACCCCTGCAGCACATGGCAGCAATTATGTCATTCTGAGCAGCCAGTGTAATCTTCAATATGTAATGCACAAAGTTCTGAAAAGGCATGTGGACAAGGTCTTGCATTGGAACAGAAGGAATTAAAAGGAGCAAAACTGTTGCAGAAGGGAGGGAGTCCATGGGAGAGAAGACAGATGTATCAAAGCAAGGGACACATCAATGTATTTATGAGCATTTGTCTGGGATGAGGAAAATTCAGCTGAGAAAAAAGGGGCTGCTCCTGGAAAGCAGCAACAGGTGGGCTGCCTGCATGGATCAAACTCATGGAAAGTCACTGGATGTCATTTCTTCTCTGCAGAAACCCAGCTGAGGGAGTACAGGGCTCCATCTGCCAGAGAAGGAGTCAGAGCTGCAGAGGGGAAATTTTAACTGTGGCCGAGGCATACATCTAAACATAAAAAAGCCTTTCATGAGAAAGATGAAATTTAATTTCTCCCTTCTCTTTTCTCTTTCCCATTTATTTTTTTCCTTATTTTTTCTCATGGGAGTGATTTTCTTCATCATTACTGGCTGGTCAGAAAAGAGTGAAATATCTAGAGCATTTCAATTTTATCCCTAAGGGTCATGCCACTGTGAAAGGCATTTTACTACTATGATGTGTAACTTTATTTTATCATTTGTTCAGCTCTAATTGTGATACGGATCATATTTAATTTTTTTAGTTTTCTTTTTAAAATTTTTTGTACCTGCTTGAGGTGAGCTAAATGCTCCCCATTTGTCATTTCTTTATTTCTGCTCTACAGTAGAATAAGAATTGGAGGACATCACATCCTCTC